TCGAGGCGCGGAATAACTGCTCTCGCGGGTGACTCTTTGACCTTGGAGAAGTGATTTTGAAATTTGAAGGCCGTGTTCTGGCAGCTCTCCAGTCCTTTTTCCAGACCTGAATTGGGTCCTGGCCCAAGGGGTAGGGAAAAAATAGAACGAACCACCAAAATGAAAAAAGTGTGTCAAGGCTTAAAAGTTTGAAACTAGATGATCAATTTTTTTCTAATAAAATATTTATGATGAAACGGTTTTCACCTTCGAGGTAGCAGATGCAGATCGCAGGGCTCGATCCCTAGACCTGTCCCGATCCCGCGTACAGTACAGTTTGCCCCATCTAGATTTGAACCCGTGATCTGCCCCTAAAGTTGTTTAGTTGAGGCTGTTGTTGTACATACGAGGGTTGAGTAGATTCGAGCTGCTTACCTGTAGGGTACAAGTCGCAGCGTGTGTCCAGTGGTAGCTCCTGTAGGTCTGAAGGGTCAACCTTAGTCATAGCCGCTACAGTACCGAAAGGTCAAGCAGGTAGGTCGAGAGTCTTCTAGAACTGCCCCTTCGAGAGTCTTGGAAGCAGTCCATAGGCGAGTGGGCAAGTGGGCCGACTCACCAGGTCGAGTCAGCGGTACCAAGTCCCAGTCGCACCTTGTCCAGTCAGCAAGTACCATGTGGGACTGTGTGCACCCTAGGCCCGATGGAAAGGAGCAGACCAGCGACCAACTGAAGTATAAATCAAGAGGCAGCGTCCAGTTATTCATTCATTCAGACTGTGAGCCGTGCGGAAGCGCTGCCTGAGCGACTTGTGCAAGGAGGTCTGCAAGTGCCCGAGGGAGAAGTGGGCTGTGAGAGAGACGAAGCGGCCATAGCCGCTAGTTTGTGGCAGAGGTAGAAAGCAGCAATAGCTGCTCTCGGTTAGAGATAGGCTATAACGTGTATGAGTGTGAGTGTTCAGTGAAGTGTGTGCGTGTGTGGGACATCCAGGGAGATCCAGAGTAGCGTGTGTGTGAAGACGAGTCTGGTTGCACTGAATTACCTGGGGCCCATCAGTTTAATGACGATAGCTTCTTATTGGATTAGGATTCAGCCCATGGGTGGCTTGCCTGTCTTATAATTCGAACTCTACTGCTAATCTTCTGATAATATTTCGTTGATGATTTCAATTCATGATTCGTGATCTTCTTGATAAAAGGATTCCAATGATGTGTAATATCAGAATTTCAATTGAGAGTTTCACGTTTTGTTGTATGCTCTTTCCCCTGATTTCTCTTGAGTTGTGGTCACCTCCCTGGAATTTTTTCAGAGGTTGGTTTTTGAATGATTTCGTTTTAAGAATTGTGATTAGCTTAACATTTGATTCATGACATCTTAGGTGTTTTTTTGGATGAAATTGATCCCTAATCCGAAATTCGTATTTCTATTCTGAGCAAGATCTTTAATCTGAAATTCGTATTTTTTTGGATGAAATTGATCCCTAATCCGAAATTCGTTTTTTCTATTCTGAGCAAGATCTTTAATCTGAAATTCGTATTTCCTGAGCAGGATTCGTAATCTTAAATTCATATTTTTTTAGCAAGATTCCTAATCTGAAATTCGTAAATCAAAGTTCTGCTCTGATTCCAATGAATTATTAATCATTTTCTTTTTACAAACGGTTACAAACCGATTTTTTCAAAGTGGAATTGATGTCCTACGTTTACCCATCTTTGATCTAATTCAAAATCTGATGTAGGTTTTCGGAAGTTGTAGTTCAGCTTTGCGAGGAGATGGTCTTGCAAACGAAAGGGGGAAGGTCGAATTAGAGGCAGGTGGGAAGGGGGGGGTTCACTCAGAGGAGGGATCGGCGGTTCAGGGCGGTAAGTCTATCATCAGAAGGGTGGGGTGGGACGACGTTGGCCGGTGCTGGAGCATTCGCTCTATGACCAGGGGAAGCTTGAGGCCATTGAAGTTATGCTGAGGGTGGAAGGCATAACTATCTCGCCCGACGTAGCTGTTGTCGGGGCGATGACCCCGTAACCTTTTAAGGGGCTTTACAGTTAGAGGGAGTTGTCAAGGGGGAAGACACTCTCTGTCCTTCAGAAACAACTAGGTCGGTGCTGGGGCCGTTTGTCTTGCCTTGTAACCCTAGCAGGGGGGGTATGAGATCTGATGATTTCTGGAACGAGGATTGAAAGCCTGGGCGGCGTGTCCTTCATCTATGGCGAGGGAAGGAGATGGATTGTAAGTGGTTCTTGTTCTTGTCCTTCTTCCTTTTGGTTTTCTTAAATGGGAAGGTGAAAGTCGAAAGTATGGTTTGGAGGAATTTTGGGTGGCCTCGTGCAGTAGAGGAAGGTTGCTCAGGGTAGTAAGTCTACTAGAAGGGCAGAGTGGAGCGACTTTGGCCGGTGCCGGAGCAGTGGCTCTGTGACCAAGAGGAGCTTGAGGCCATTGGAGTTATGCCGAGGGTGGAAGGCATAACCACCTCTTTCAATGTAGCTGATGCCGGGGCGGTGACCCTGTAACCCGCAAGGGGGTTTGCAGCTAAGGAAGTAGTCGAGGGAGGAAGACACTTCCTGTCCGTCAGAAAACAGTTAGTTCGGTGCTGGGGCAGTTTGTGTTGCCTTGTAACCCTAGCTAGGGGGGTGTGAGAACTGGCGATTTCTGGTACGAGGACTGAAAGCCTGAGCTGCGGTTTCTCGTCTGCAGCAAGGGTCTGAGTTGGATTGTTGGTGGCTCTATTCCTGATTTTCGTCTTTCTGTTTTTCCACAGTTTTTTTATTTCTGAATATGCTCTTGAAAAAATGTTGGCTGTTTGGTGGCCTTAAGAATGTTTTAGGACTCCGGGGACTCCTAGCAACTTGTCTTAGGTGGCTTCGATGTTGTAATACTCAGTGATCTGCAGCTGTTCGATGCCAGAACGACGCTGGCCGGTGCTGGGGTGTTGCCGTGCAACCTGCTGATGCAGGAGCGTGAGGCCTGGTAGAGAGATCTGGGGATGCTTTGGGGTGGGCATTCCACGAGACAACCAAGGGTTGCTGCTGGAAAGACTCTGGTCGGAGCTGGGGTGAGTTGTGTTGCCCCTGTAACCCAGCAGGATGTGGGGGTGTGAGGCCTGGAAGAGCTCGGCAGGGAGTAAGACAGTGTTGGAGAACTTTGGAAGGTTTTGCTAGGGATTTTGAGGGTTTTGGAGCATTTGCAGGACCTCTGCGGTCTATTTCCATACTTCCTAAATTACTTTCAGTGTTCTCAGACGTTTTCCCAGCCGAAGCCGAGTAATGGCCCCGGATCTCAACTTTCAAAGTCTATGTAAATTTTTCATATGGGATGCTGGGCCCGGTTCCCAGCACGTGCTGCTCCCCACAAATAGATTGGAGCCTTATTCCCATTAAAAAAAAAAAAAAAAAAAAAGAGCCAGACCAGGCCAGGGGGGGTGAACCGGGAAACCGGTTTTGAAAAAAAAGCGCCCAAATATCTTTTCTTTTTTTTTCCGGCAGATTCCGACTGTGCTCTTCAAGAGCTGTCGGAATCCGCAATAAAATTTTCAAGGTGCAATATTTTTCGGGGGGCTTCCAGAGGGGGGCAGGGGGTTATTATTGACATATTCAGGCAACTATGGCTTCCACGGGGAGGGGTCAAGTAAGCAAGTTCACTTATCCAACTTCCCCGTGGCTGGAGCAGTTCGTGGAGTGTGTCATTTGATATTGATAACCCACGAGCTGAACCAGATATAATGAGAGGAGGTTCTTGCCAGAAGTTATAGCTCTTCCAGAGTATAACTCGACAGCAGAAGAGTTATGGTTCCAGCTTTCATCTCGTGGACGCAGAGCGCTTTCTGTTTGTTGGTTTCTACATAAGGTGAGTTATCAGTCCGGAAGTATCTTGCCTGGCAGTCTGTCCAGATACATGTAGTGGAGCAACAAACAGAAAATGCTCTGCGTCCACGAGCTGAAAGCTGGAACCATAACTCTTCTGGTGTCGAGTTATACTCTGGAAGAGCTGTAACTTCTGGCAAGGACCTCCTCTCATTATATCTGGTTCAGCTCGTGGGGTATCAATATCAAATGACACACTCCACGAAGTGCTCCAGCCACGGGGGGTTGGATAAGTGAACTTGCTTACTTGACCCCTCCCCGTGGAAGCCATAGTTGCCTGAATATGTCAATAATAACCCCCTGCCCCCCTCTGGAAGCCCCCTGAAAAGTATTGCACCTTGAAAATTTTATTGCGGATTCCGACAGCTCTTGAAGAGTGCACTCGGAATCTGCCGAAAAAAAAAAAAAAAGAAGATATTTGAGCACTTGTTTTTCAAAACCGGTTTTCCGGTTCACCCCCCCTGGCCTGGTCCGGCTCCGGTTGGACCGGGGTAGCTCAACCAGCCGGTTGGCGGCCCAGCACTGCTTTAAATAAGTTTAAAAAAAAAGAAAAAAAAAACTGGGAATTCTAAACAAACAACCCGAAGAAGATGAAAAAGAGTATATGCTGGGGACTCTACCCACCTCAGGAGTAGGTGTCGGGGTGAAGATTCAGAGACAGAAATGGCCAACACCAGACCGCTGTCCTGATATTGTCGTCAGACCGTTCTAGGTCTCTGCAGGGCGTAGTTAGGTTGAACCACTGGTTCTTCCTAAAGTCGTGCCCATTAACAAGCCACGATTGTAGGACATTGTACAGGGCCACTACAGAAACGCCCAAATTCATCCGACTAGAAACGTTTCTACTCTATCTTTTTCCACGCCCGATAGCTGGGCCAAGTGCTGGTGCTTTCACTTATTAGGTTCGTAGCAGGGAAGGTAGGAAAAGTTAGGAGGTAGGAGTAAGAAGTGGGAATGAGCAGAGTTATATTTTCGCCACATGGCTACAGCCAGCTTATAAGCAAAACTGGGTGATGCTCCCATGACAAATCCGGGTTGAATTGTGAGATCCCCGACCTTGACCTTCAATTTCGTTTTGTCGGGGGGGGGGGGGTGTTAATGTAGTCTACTGTAAAATTGGGTGCAAAAATTGGATCCTGGAATGGAAAATAGGTGAAAGGACTGTACCTGGCACGGAACATCAGGGACATGCTATCTTCAACTTGTATCGGTGTATGGGTAGCCACCAGCGCAATACCCCCTCGACTCCGGTGGTCCCTGATCAAATCTTCAAGCAACTTGGCACCCTGGGAAAGAATGCGAACAGGGGGGGGTAGGGGGGGTGGGGGGGAGGAGGGAGCTCGGAGACGAAAAAGAAAAGAAAAAAAGACCAGTTCCCACAAGTCGAAACTAGAAAGTTAGAAACAAAAATGCTGGAAAAAAAAAAAAAGAAGGAAAAAAGAAAAAGAAAAAAAAACAGAAAAAAGCTTTCCCACTGAGTCGAGCGAAAAAATATTAGGACCAGGGCAATGACAGACTCTTTCGCACAAAATTTCATTCAGATCTCAGCATATAATGAGCATAATCCTTCCTAATGTTTGGTCTGCGAGGAGCTCCTTCAAAATGACCATGATCCTTGATCGTCAATTTTAACATCCATATTATCTGAGCGGACTGGAGAAAGGCAGCAAGAGCTAGGCAAACCCCAAAAAAAAACAGGCCTGCCAGGAGCTCCTTCTTCAGAACCTGGGGCCTCAAAGTAAGGATGTCAAAATTGACGGCAAAGGGAATTGCGCTAGAGCCGTGATTGATGGTCCCTAGCCCCCCCTGAAGGGGTACTACTGGTTGCCTCAGTCACCCCTAAGTAATAACTACATTTGAGTGTTTTGAACTGTTTCCCTGTGTTAAAATCCGGACCCGGCAGCCTGGCCTTCGTCCGGTAGGGCTCCCGGCCGGCCCAGCCGTTGGGTCACCCGGTTGGGCGCCGGGCGGGCCCAGCGAAATTTCGCACGCGGTGGGGGGGAGGCTTTTTTCGGCCAGTGGCGGCCTCCCCAGCCGCCTAGTGCTT